CTCTCTCTCTCTCTCTCTCTCTCTCTCTCTCTCTCTCTCTCTCTCTCTCTGTCAGTCTGTCTGTCTCTGTGTGGGCGGAGGGCAGTGGTGGGTTTCAAAAAAATTTGGAACCTCTTCTGTAGGTGTGGCCTGCTTTCCGGGTCCACTGGTGGAACCTCTTCTAACCGGTTCGGTAGATTTGATGAACCGGTTCTACTGAATAGGTGCAAACTGGGAGGAACCCACCTCTGGCACAATCCATTCTCCCCCCCCCCCCCAAAAAAATCTTAACTAGTGTGGCTAACACTAACCAGGATTGCCAGCCAGTATCTTCTGAAGTCAATTGGGGCACTCTTTGGGATAACTCTTAAAACTGCGGGCAATGCCACACAGTGTGGGGGGGAGAAGAGGGGGGAATAAGTCTTCCCTAGCCAGCACTTTGTCAGAGAAATCTGGCATCAAGTTGCAAAGTGTTGTGTGGCAGTATGAAACCTGTCACGGCAGAGGGGAAGAAATATGTGACGCGTAAGTTGTGTTTCACTCGAATGGCCTTTTTCCTGACAAAGGGCTGTTTTTACTTAACAACACTTGCATGCCAAAACCATTAGACATAAAGATCAGTTTTTCCCTCCTGGGCCATCACTCTGCTGAACACTTAATTCCCACAGCACTTGTCTTATTTCTCATCTTCCCTGCTCTCCTATTGGTTACTTGTGATTTATCAAGTTATTCCTAATTTACGATTAATGATTGTAATTATTTTATGACCTATGACCCATGACTTGCTATTTATATGTACACATATACTGGAGACAAAGCCCAGTAAAGAATTCAGTTCTGTTCTGTTTTGTTCTGCTTTGCCCTGCCCTGCCTGTCCCCGTCCCACCCACCCCACCCTATCCTATCGAATCACTTGTGTTACCATTCATCCCACCCTCTCAGGCACAGCTGGATCTGTCTGCTTCCTTCTTTGTTCTGATTTCACAAACTCAGTGTTCCAGATGGTCTTTGGTTTGATGAAAAATGTAAGGCAACATTGTCATAATATAAAACATAGCGATAATAAAAGCATGCACACATCCTGTACCCTACCTAGCCCATCCCTTACTCTTAAAGGTAAAGGTTCCCCTCACACATATGTGCCGACTCTAGGGAGCGGTGCTCATCTCTGTTTCAAAGCCGAAGAGCCAGCGCTGTCCGAAGACGTCTCCGTGGTCATGTGNCTCTGAAGGCAGCTGATAACTGGCATACGGCTCTGGCCCTCTCTCTGCCCTCCGACACAGAGCCCCCATCAGAGCCTTCCCCAGACCCCAGGACTGGCCCAAAAATAAATTAATACCAAGCGAAGTTGAAATAAGGTTATGGACTGAAATAAGTTATTAACAAAAGAAATCCAAGGGAGAAAAACATCCCATATTTTCCTTGCTGGATATTTGCAGCGGAAAGAAAAGATGAATGTAAGAGAGCGGTCGGAGAACCCAGGATAAGGCAATTAGACGGTGACATTATGCATAAAAGTCTGTGAACGGTTTCAGAGGCCAACGAAAGGATCAGCCGCAAGGATCCGGGGTTTTCAGGCAGATTCATCCCAGGCTTTTTAACTGTACACAGAAGCAGAAGACTCAGTGGAAATTGCTGGTTTGAATTTTTCCTCACTGAAAGAAATGCGGAACAGCCGAGCGGAGTAAATCTTTTTCCGATGGAATACGGTTGAGGTACATCGAATTTCCCGCTGGGTGAACGCAGACACCGTGGATAAAATTATTCATGAGGAGGCCTTTTTCTTTTGCTGCGTTTTATTTTTATTCGTTTTTTTTTTGTCATAACGTTTCCAGAGCTGCATTTCGTAGCATCTCCCACATCCAACGTGTTAGCAATCTGCCCCCCCCCTCCCCGAGAGATTTGGAGCACGCCAAGCGACGACTTCAAAAAAAGGGCCAACGGTGGTAGGGGATTTTAACTGCTGCCACTTTCGTCTTGCGAGATTGTAGCACAACAAAAAAGTTTCTGTTATAAAGACCCTCTGGGCCTTTTGAAGCATTGAAGGGTAGAGCCTGCCTGTTTTATAACTCTGTTCCAGTGGAAAGATTAAGACGGTAGCAGATTTCCGTGGAAAACAAATACTGTATGCTTAATGGGCCGGATTGTATACTTGCGAGGTTTATGTTTCCACACAAGCCTTATGAAAGCTGATTAACTTTGTGGAGACTTTGCAAGAATAACCGTTGCGTAGATAAGCACCGCCGTTTATATGATATATATATATTTTTAACCCTTCTTTTTTTTAAAACACCATTCAAAGATGTGAAGTTATAAATTGGTCTTAATATTACCGGAACACTCAGACCTAAAGAAGAAGGAAATAAATGTATAATCCTACATGAAAATCCTGTTCTTTTTTTCCTTTTTTCCCCCCCTGATCTGTTTTGAAACTCTTTAAATGATTTGTATGCTCCATCTTCTGCCAGAGTAAAACGGCTTTAGATATCGCCCTAAGCCACCATCGCTTTTATGGGCTTAATGGGATGTGTGAACGGGAGCCCCTGTCAGACGGAAGTGATTCGTCTGGCGGAGAGGGTAGCTCTAACCGTAAGACCACCTGCTCAGTTCGCTTTCAGCCACGGTGGATGTTTCTAAATAATTTCGATACTTGCAAATGCTGCTGTTGGTATAACTGCAGGCAGCCCAGTCCTTGGCTTACGACACGACTGGGACCAGGATTGGAGTTGCTAAGCAAGGCAGCTCTTAAGTGAATTGCACCTAATCTTACAACTTTTCTTTTTGCCACAGCTTGTAAGCAAGTTACCCTAGTCGTTAATAGCAATAGCACTTAAGACTTATATACCGCTTCACAGGGCTTTACAGCCCTTTCTAAGCGGTTTACAGAGTCAGCATGTTGCCCACCAACAATCCAGGTTCTCATTTTACCCACCTCAGAAGGATGGAAGGCTGAATCAACCTTGAGCCAGTCAGGATCGAACTCCAGACTGTGGGCAGAGTTTGCCTGCAATNGGAAGCTTCCGACGATTGTGCGGCTTACAGCTGATCCGTGCGATCATTGGATGCTTTCCCTCCCGGCTTTTTAAAGCATATTTTTCCTGCCTATTCGTCCTAACCAGTAGCATTTCACCACTGCTCTGAAACATTTTTAGGATGCCCTTTAGGACAGGATGGTTCCGTAAAGCCTTAGCATAAATTAAAGTATTAATATTAAAATATAAATACGGGAGCCTCCTGATTAACGTGCTATGGCAATGTTGCTTCCAGCTTTGATCTTTCGCTTGGAAGGAAAAATCCACGAATCTCTGGAGTTTTTCCAGACTTGTGCTATTCTCAGGCCTCGATCTGCCGACAACCTCAAGCAGGTGGCTCGCTCCCTGTAAGTGTAATTTTGTTCTTCCTTATCTAAGAGGTCATACGGAGTGGGATGGGACTCCTCATGAAGGTGTCGGTGGCATTGGCATCCGTACGGGCACCATCATCTTCTTAGCATGTAGGCCCAAAGCAGTGGTGAGATTGTAAATTTTTTTACAACCGGTTCTGTGGACGTGGTGTGGCAAAGCCAACGCTGTCCGAAGACGTCTCCGTGGTCATGTGGCCGGCATGACTAAACACCGAAGGCAGACAGAATGCTGTTCTCTTCCCACCAAAGGTGGTCCCTATTCATCCCACTTGTTACCATTCATCCCACCCCCTCAGGCACAGCTGGATCTGTCTGCTTCTTTCTTTGTTCTGATTTCACAAACTCAGTGTTCCAGATGTCTCTGGTTTGATGAAAAACCAACCTTGTCATAATATAAAACATAGCGATAATAAAAGCATGCACACATCTTGTACCCTACCTAGCCCATCCCTTACTCTTAAAGGTAAAGGTTTCCCCCTCGCACATACGTGCCGACTCTAGGGGGCGGTGCTCATCTCCGTTTCAAAGCTGAAGAGCCAGCGCTGTCCGAAGACGCCTCCGTGGTCATGTGGCCAGCATGACTCAATGNGTGGCTGCTTAGCTCCAGCAACTGCTTCCTATTGGGGCCTTAAGGAGCCCGGGTGTGCAGGCGAGGAGAGAGTGGGAAGGGAGGGGTGAGTAGAGGCTGGTGAGATGCCCCTTGATGTGAGTGACATCGAGTTGGCCATGCCCACCCAGTCACATGACTACCTAGCCACGCCCACCCAGCCGATCATTAGTCAGATCACATTAGTGGTCCCCGGGTTTTAAAATTAGAATGTAGTGGTCTCTGAGGTCCGACCCCTGACCTAGATTTCAAGACCAAGGAGGTAGGGGGTTGGTCATTTAATCTCAGAATACCCACCCAGCCATATGATCCTGAGCTATTTAACCCTTAGTTTTGTGGGTGCTTCGATTAATCTTAATAAGTGGTATTATTGCCAGTATAGCTTTATAGCCATTTATCCACTGAAGTCCATAACTCCTTTAAAGGCCTTGTATTACTCACAACGGAGATGTTACCTAACTGCCCATCCAGTATATTAAAGATGTTTGTTTTTTTTAAAAATGAAGGTTTTAATAAGTAACCCAGTGAAATGGGTTTATTGGGCGATAGGATGCAAAAGTGCCTGTTTTATCCCTTCATAATGTACGGTACCACAATCGGAAGAGGTGGCCATCTCAGTTTTATTTCGAAGCTCAATAGCCTGCTTTGTGCCCTGTTTCCATACAGGCAAAGAAGAACAGAGAAAATCTTTCTTTCTGGAATTTATGAGTAATGCAAAGGCAGTTGAGTATTCAGAATAAACTTCCTCTCTTTGAAATAATTCAAACCAAATGTTGCAGGGGGGGGGAAAGAGGGGGTGATTCTGCTGTTACAACGTTTTTGTAGCTTAGCAGCAGCAAGAGCAAATAACTGTGGCTGAAATAGTTTATTGGAAACTGTAGTTGTTGGAAGTAAGCTTGGGAAATGTACTAATCCACTCTTGTCTTCTGGGCATTTGTGGCCTAGAATTTAACTGGAACCAAGTTCTGTAAAAACTTCAGGTCACTCGGAGTCTATTTTGCCTTAGAGTTGGAAGGGACCCTAGAGGTCTTCTAGTCTAACCCCCTGCTCAGGCAGGAAACCCTACACCACTTCAGACAAATGGATATCCAACATTTTAAAAACTTCCAGCGTTGGAGCATTCACAAATTCTGGGGGCAAGTTGTTCTACTGATTAATTGTTCTAACTGTCAGGAAATTTTTCCTTAGTTCTAAGTTGCTTCTCTCCTTGATTAGTTTCCACCCATTGCTTCTTGTCCTGACCTCAGGTGCCTTGGAGAATAGCTTAAACTCCCTCTTCTTTATGGTAACCCCTGAGATATTGGAATGCTGCTATCATGTCATCCCTANTCCATCCTTCCGAGGTGGGTAAAATGAGGACCCGGATTGTTGTTGGGGGTTATATGCTGACTCTGTAAACCCCTTAGAGAGGGCTGTAAAAAGCATTGTGAAGCGGTATATGTCTAAGTGCTATTGCTTATGATAGCTATTGGGCCCCAAATGTCTGTTGCTAAGTGAGACAGTTATTAAGTGAGTTATGCCCCCATTTTATGACCTTTCTTGCCACAGTTGGTAAATGGATCATTGCAGTTAGTGACATGGTGATTAAGTGAATCCCCATTGACTTGGCTTGCCAGAAGTTCGCAAAAGGGGATCGATCACATGACCTTGAGACACAGCAACGGTCATAGGTATGAACCAGTTTCTGAGAGCCTGATTTCCGATCACATGATTGTGGCGATGCTGCAATGGTCATAAGTGTGAAAAATAGTCAGAAGTAACTTTTTCCAGTGCCACCCCCCCAGCTCATTTTTGATCCCAGGAGGCTGCAAGGAGGCCCAAAATGAGGCAGGGGGATCGTGTGGGGGTTGGGGGAGCACGCTGTGTGTGTGTATCACATGCGCATTGCATTATGGGTGTGGGTGAACATTTTGGCATGCGACAATGAAAAGGTTAGTCATCACTGACCTATAATGTACCTGTGCATTTTGGTTTTTTTCTTGCCTAAATGTAGAACCTTACTCTTTTCACCATTGAATTTCATTTTATTAGATAGTGCCCAATGTTCAAGTCCGTCAAGATCCTTCTGTATCTTTAGCCTGTCTTCCGGAATGTTGGCTATTCCTGCCAGCGTGGTGTCATCTTCAAATTTGATGAGTTCCCCATTTATCCCCTTGTCCAAATCATTGATGAAGATGTTGAAGAGTACTGGGCCGAAAACAGAGCCTTGGGGTACTCCACTGCATACCTCCCTCCACATAGATGCCAGTTGCGAATCCATCGAGCGATGATGCTGTCTAATCAACATTTTTCTATCTTATGAAGTAATACCCTGTTTCCCCAAAAATAAGACCTCCCCAGATAATAAGCCCAATCAGGATTTTGAGCGCATGTGCTAAAATGAGCCCTCCCCTGAAAATAAGCCCTCCCCGAAAATATTTAAATGCATGCTCAGCGGGTTCTCACCATTTCCTCTGATTGGTTGCCACGCAAACAACATGAGCTGAGGCGAGGCTGGAGGGGGGGAATGGGAGGGGGGAACATGCCCCATGCAACCCACATGCCCTTACCTAACAGCCGCCCCTGCAACCCTGGCCACCGGGCGCCTTTTGTCACGCTAATGGCCGCCACAAAAAGAGCGGCAGGCCCAGCGACGCGCAGCCCAGAAGCAGCCATGAGGTGACCATGTTCACCACCTCCTGCACCTCAGAAATAATAAGACCTCCCCAAAAATAAGGCCAAGTTTTTAGTTCACAGGGGGAGGGGGGACAAAAGAAAATAAGACCTTGTCCTATTTTGGGGGGAAACACGGTAGGTTCACAGTTCTATTTGTGAATTAATTCTCACAGATGGAAGAGCATTTTGGTGAAGGATTTTCTTTGCCTGCCCACCCCAAAGAATCCAGAGGGCTACAGACCGGAATCTTAACCGTTCTGACACATTTCATTCGGGTCTCTCTCATCTCCCTCGTGATTCTACGCTAGCTGATCGGTAGCCATGCGCTCTTTTCCACAGTCCGGCCCACGCTGGTTTCGTTTCAGACATGTCTCGTGGACAACAGAAGCTCCTTGTTTTAGCCATGAATAAAAGGATAGTACTATTGCTTTTCCACAGCCACATTTTTTGCAATCCATAATTAGATCCTGCCAGGCTGCCAAGACATACGGCCTCAGCAGGGAAGCCTGGCTCCGCAAGTGAACTGAAGCTAAATATAGTTCGCACACAGTTTTTGGGTTTTTTTTTTTTAAAGAAAACAACAACACTGTACACATCAAAGTGAGGAGTTTCTGGACCCCATCCTTGCCTGTTGTGACTGAATCACACAAGAATGTGATTATCCTAACCTACATTTTCCATTATAACCTTTACAAGCAGCGAGCTGGCTGCACTGCGATTCCTGGGTGCGGTTTGCAGGAAGAAATTGGTTC